CGTGGACCACCAAGTCACAGATTCTGATTGAACCGTGAGGGGTTTATGATTCTGACTTCGTTTATCGAAGTGAGAAATTGAAACGATATCTTATCGATGTAAGATAGTCGTTCTTCTTGAAATCAAGTCAAAGCCTGATTATCAAGGAGTGGCTGAAAGTTCAAGACCTCTGCTCTCTCTCTGCTCTGGATTGCTCTGAAGTGCTCAAAATGATCAGCCCTGGATCTCTGCTGGAAGCCCCTTGTGAAAATGGCCTTCGGGGGGGGTATTTATAACCCTCTGGATGAACAGTGCTCGCGAGACAGCATTTGCTGTCTCGGCGGGCGAGACAGTGTTTGCTGTCTCGCTGGCCGAGACAGTGTTTGCTGTCTCGCCCAGCGAGACAGTAAATTTGCTGTCTCGCCCAGCGAGACAGTAAATACTGTCTCGGAAACTGCAGTTTCTCATTGTAACCGCTCTCCCACGTTTTAAACTCCGTTATTCTGGCAGTTATCAACGTGATTCTCGCCCACGACGTTCCCCATGTTCTTGAACAGTTGGTGGGTAAAGACTGTCTCGTATGCGAGACATCCCAAACTTGTGTTCTTCTGCCTTTTTGGATGATTTCCTCTTGAGCTGTATTTGGATATTTTTCAGCATTTTTTGACGCCTACAGAGGCAAAGATGATTTTTGTTTATTTTAAATTTTTTTGCTTTAAATTTGAGTTTTGAGTTCATTGTTTGTACTGCATATTGCATGCGAGACATCCCAAACTTGTGTTCTTCTGCCTTTTTGGATGATTTCCTCTTGAGCTGTATTTGGATATTTTTCAGCATTTTTTGACGCCTACAGAGGCAAAGATGATTTTTGTTTATTTTAAATTTTTTTGCTTTAAATTTGAGTTTTGAGTTCATTGTTTGTACTGCATATTGCTGTATATTGGTTCTACGAAGGAAATAAGATGATGGGTTGAGATTGTAACTTAGTTATTCAAGGTTAAATAGGAATGTAATTTGTTTGTACTGCACATTTGTTGTTTATACGTGACACATGGCTGTAATTTGTGATATTTAGGGGTGAGCACGGTTCGGGTCGGGTCGGTTTTTACCAAAATTTGAACAACCGAACCGAACCACCTACAATTCAAAACCAAACCGATCCATTACAAATCGGTTCGGTGCGGTTCGGTTTGGTTTGTTCGGTTCTAACTTCATCAAGTATAACTTCACTTCAATTTATCTTTTATATATTCTTATTACCCTATGCCAGCATGTATTTATTTTTTAACTTCACTTCAATTTATTATTCTTGCTCATGTATGTATACTGTTTTTAAGTAAAGTAACTTGTTCTTTTGGATTAAATACTAGACCTGATGTTGTAATTTTTTAGTAACGGACTTGCTTTGTCTTTGGGTAAACGGGTAGGGTTTGAGGCAGGGGAATATATTCGGTTGGTTCGGGTCGGGTCGGTTTGAAAAATTATCGACCCGACCCGAACCGCCTTACTCATAAAACCGCTTTTTCGGGTCGGTTCGGTCGGTTTTTTCGGTTTGAACCGAACCGTGCTCACCCCTAGTGATATTTAGCTGTAATTTGTTGATAGTGAATATGTCACGTATAAACAACAAATGTCATAAGCAACACCCAAATATCACATACAACACCCAGATATCACATACAATACCCAAATGTCACGTATAAACAACAAATGTCATAAGCAATACCCAAATATCACATACAACACCCAAATATCATAAATCAGATCTAAATATCACATATAAGGTAGAACTGTCACATGTAAGATTGAATTGTCACGTATAACATTGAAAAATCACATGATATGCTTATTTGTCACATTTACGGTTAATTGTGATACATATATGTTCCCTCATTTTCCCATTTAACCTTGAATAACTAAAAAACATAACAACACTCCCAAATTGAACTCTAATTGGATCAAAATCATCCTTACAAAGGATTTTAACTCATCAAACAAAAATACATCAGGAAGTTACAATCCTAACCCACCATCCCATTTTCTTCGTAGAACCAATCTACAGCAATGTGCAGTACAAACAATGAACTCAAAACTCAATTTTAAAGCAAACAAATTTAAAGCAAACAAAAATCATCTTTTGTTCTCCTTCTCATCATCATCATCAACAGCAAAGCCCCAAGAACTGTGCAGATTCTGATTGGACGGGCTCGAGTGAATTTTGCATCATCCAAGCACACACATCCGCCTCATTGCCTTCTCAACCTCCTCCTCGTCCTCCTCATTCGATTTGCTCTCTGAGCCCGCAACCTCTCTGTCCAAATGGGCGTTACCTCCCTGTTCAAATAGACTATCTCCTTCAAGAACCCGACCTCCAGTGCGGATCCTATGAACCCAATCAAACCCCCAAAACTAGCAACAAATCAAAACAAAATCTCTCCCTCACACACAAACGAAAAACATAAATAAAGTAAAATAAAAATCACTCAAAAAACAGTCCTCATTTCATTTGCCCCTTTTATCCTCAGAGGTAAGACTCTTCTATTCTTCTTCTTAAAAAACCAACAGAATAAACCCTTGAATAGTCATAACAAATAAGTGTCACATCCCCAGGTGGCTGTCGCCGTCGGATTCGATCCTAGTTCCGCTGTCGTCGGCGACGACGGCGGATCCTCTTGGGTCCATCCCCAGGAGGCAGTGGATCAAGGAGAGACCGATCCGGCAGTGATGTGGATCACGGATCCGTCCGCGATGGGGATCAAGGATTCGGTGTCAAGCGCTTCGACGACCGTTACCTCTGTTACAGTTAA